ACTCAGTATGATGCATGCGCCGCATACGTCCACACCATTGGCATCAATATGCCTATTACGTCACCTCCGGACGATGCAATCATATCCTTCTGGCAGCCTGATCAGCTGAATAGAATTTGGGTCTTGCCTGCATCAAAATGCAATTGGGAGAAGTATGATCTGAAGACTTGGCATGCTGTGATGTTTTCATCCGTTCATCAGTCGTTCACCGATGCGCCGGCTATCAGGCCGATGCCCATCGAGACGGATCCATTGGATCCAACGGATGCACCTCAACAACCTGACACGCAGCAGCCACCTGATCAACCGGACCATCCCATGCCTGATCCAAGACCTCCAACGCCACCGGACGAGAACATGTCAGATCCTCCTCCGGATCCTCCACATCAGCCTGATCATCCCATGCCGCCAGCACCACGCAGTGTGTCACCAGACAGTCCAGTGGATCCTCCACTACCGCCACACGACAAGCCTGGCGGAGGAGATGCAGCGCTTAAACGGCAAAAACAGTCCATTTCATCCTCAAGTGGACTCAATCGACTGGGGGGTGATGTCTCTTTGCCGTCACAGTCGCAATCATCTCAGCCAATTCTTCCGACTGTAGTGGTACCAAATCCCGAAGCAGAAGATGAAGATCTTGAACTGCCAACACTTGCGCAAGAAGAAACAACCGGCAGTCCATCAAAGAAGCAGAAGACTGGGAAGAAGAAGAAGAAGAAGCCAGATGACAATGATGAGTCACCTGGGCACTCTCCCAGACATGATCCTGCATCTTCATCCAATTATAATCCGAACAATCCAGCGAATTTGCCGGCCCAATATGAAAGTGAGGAAGAGCTGATTCCTCATGTTCCAACCTCGTCCGGCACTGGAAGTTCAAAAAGAACCATGAGATACACTGACCAGGAAGATGGAGATTCAGAAGACTCTCAGAGGACCAGATCTTACGATGATCACCAAGCTGATCTCGTTCTTGATGAAGCGCATTGGTCACTCATGACAGCCGAACAGAAGATCTGTGCGAACACTGGATCTTTTACGGTTCCAAGAGATATCGTAGGCAACCCTGTCCTTCTTGGACGTGTGAAAGGGACCTTCATCCCATCGCCCCGATGTGGATTCTCTCATCAGAAATACACAGATCAGAATCATGTTGACCAGTTATGCAAGAACATGACCGACGATGACCGTGCGCTCTTAGTTCTGTATTCATCCAAGCAAGAATCCTTGAAGGCTTCCTCCACATCCGCACTCATTGGCAAGAAGCGGAAGGAAGCTACAGCCACGGAAATAAGAGCTTATCAGAAGCAATTCCTAGAAGCCAAGCAGCTCGAGTGCAAATCATGGCTTGACAATGAAGTGTTCGACTTAGTCGATACACGCAAGATTCAGGTCAGGAACTGGGTCACCGGTCGCTGGGTTCTAACCCTGAAGCGAGACAAGGATCGTAACTTCCTGAAGACCAAGGCTCGCTGGGTCCTCCGAGGCTTCCAAGACAAGCAGAAGAATGATCAGCAGACAGACAGTCCTGCTGCATCCAGGAGTGGTTTCCGCCTTGCGATCCAAGCAGCCTCAAATAAAGGCTGGAATATATTCCACATGGATTTGAAGACAGCATTTCTCCAAGGCGAAGCATACGATCAGTCTCGTGACATCATTTGTCAGATACCTGCTCAAATGGGATATCCACCACACATTGGAGCGCGCATGAAGAAGCCTGCCTACGGGCTGAATGACGCACCCCGCACATTGTGGAACATCCTTGACTTGGCACTTCGTTCCTACGGACTGGTGCCAACCCGGGCAGACCGTTGTACATACGTGTGCTACGGCAAGCAGCTTCCGAAGCCCGCATTGGTGAGTGAAAGAAGTCATCCACAACTTTCGATCTCGAAGGAGCAGTTGATTACCTCACGGATCCTGTTTCTGGTAACAATGCCAAGAATCGACAAGTTCATGGAGCACTGTCTCTTCATGTAGATGATCTTCTTATGACGGGGGATGACGTGTTCGAGAAGGAAATCATGGGACGACTTCGGAAAGATTTTCAGGTTGGTTCCGAGGACAAAAATGATTGCCTCTTCGTAGGACAGCGCATCCAATGGAAGCAAGATGACAAGCACGGTTGGTACATCAATGTTCATCAGAATGTTGCCATCGACGAACTGCAGGAGATCACTTTTGACAAACACCTGAAGGACGACACTCCTCTTACTCCACACATGCATACAGCATTATTTCTTCGCGGCCTCTGGTCAGACATAACGGGCGAAATTGCAGATGTACACATCCGCACTGATGCGAACAATCTTGTCACCACAGCATCCACAACACATCAACCGGAACAGAAAGAAACAATGCATTTGATCCAGATGTTGAGAAAGGAAAGCAACAGTGGACAGATGCACGACCTTGCACATGTACGGAGTGAAGATTGTCTGGCAGATTCGCTGACCAAGCATTCAGCTAAAGCAGACGAGCTCATCAAGGCCGTCCTCACCGGCAATCTCTTGAATGTAGATGCACATCCACCCTTCCGTACCATGTTGCAGAACAAGGCATTTTTGGTTGAGTGGCTAGCACACAACACGAAGCACGGACCCGACGTCATTGCCTTTGCAGGAGTCGGTATAGCAGAATCCATGTTTGCTTATTGGGGAACCTGGGCATGATCCGCATGTCCACGAATTCTGATGCATGAGTTTTTCCGTTTGCATATTTTCAATTCCTCAAATCCGTGATGCGCGTGTTTGCACTTGACCCGTATTGAATCTCAAGAAATATGTGTCTGCGTCCGCAGCCACTTTCGGTTTACAACCAATCCGACCTTTGCAATCTTGTACGCTCGATCACTTCGAAGACATGCCCATTCTCAATATGATCTTCGGACGATCCAGCGCCGCGGCACCTGTGCCAAAGCCGATGATCAAGAGACGGGCATCACCGTTGAAGGAATCCCCTGTTCGTGATGAGGAAGATGAGACATCAGACTGCCCCATGGAGCAAGTCGCCGATGAGAATCCATCCGCCTCTCAACAACCCGAGAATGTCAACATGGAGCAGGTTGATTATGATCCAGATTCCGACGACGATGATTCAGATGAAGAAGGGCATCCTCCCGCAGGAAGGCCTACGTCAAAGGCGATGCCGCATCCGAAACTTGTTCCCAAGTCACCGCCACCAGCATTGAGGCGTCCCCAAGGTCAAGCCAGCACCAAAGAACATCCTGGATGAAGAGACGGAATCCGACAATCATCCTGGTGATCGACCCGCGCTTCCAAGGCGACCAGCGATGCGGCCAGTTCTCACATCCAATGACCGGTGGTTTGTAACATATGGGTCGGATACAAACATCAGCCTCCAGAAGGAATCCGTACACCCAGGACCTTTCGGAAGGGCAGATCTCCCATTCGCTACCATTGGAGTTTTCCACATCCATCCATCAATTAGCCATGGAGCAGCAAGGGAAGATCTTCAAAATGAAATCATGCCGCTCGTGACTTTGTACCGATGCGATGCGATCACCGGAGACGCCAACAAATCAGCGAACACCTACAGCAAACTCCAGCACGTCTTCAATCCGGCCAACGGTCTCGTGAACATTCTCATGAGAGAATATCAGAGACTGTGGAATGAAACGAAAGATTTGCCACTCGTGGACAGAATGGAATATGCAATGGAGACTTCGTGCGCCCTAAAATCCATTGTCCGTCATCACCTGTGCATGAAGTGTGGATCAGGATATGATCGAACATTCCCAGATGTGATGATGACTTTCGTATTTGGATGGGGCAAAACGAACATCCAGCAGGCTTTCCGGAAGGACGAGATGAACGGCATGGATGATGAACGACTGGAATTCATGCGGAACCATCCAACCAAGGCCATATTCGATTACCAGGTCTCATCCGCAGAGCGCTTTAAGCACGTGAACAATGACATGTTCATGAATGGCTCGCAGGACTCCGACTCTCATAGTCCTCTCATGGTTTACATCCGCAGCAAATCTGCAACCAGGCAACGCAGCTCTGAGAGATACCAGGAGTACATCAAGAAGAAACAAGCCTGGACCCCGCAGGAGTACAAGGACTACAACAAGCAGTGGAAGGACTATAGCAACTCGACCTGGAATGATTATGGAGACTATGGCAGTCAATCCGACAGCAGCCGCCGATGGTATCGTCGATCCGACTGACCATGAAGATTCATACGTTCAGCACCACGAACTCAATTCAGATGATTGATCCTCGCCGTCTACAAGACTATACCATGAGTGAGAGATCAATAGTTTCACAATCGTCCCGCGTGTACATAGCGTTGTACATCACCCTTTGATACATCTAGGTATCTCAAAAAGAAGCAGTACATAGTGTTTTCCATTTCGAAAGCCAAGACATTTCATCCGAGCAGAAAAGAGGATGAATCCGGCATTTTTAATACACATGGCTACGGCATACAGCATGGCTACGGCATACATCAAGGCTACGGCCAAAGGCCATGAAGCCAATAGTATTTCATACTTAGTGCTGGAGATCAAAAGAAATTTGTGTCTGTTTTGTGTTTGGTTCTCAGACCAATTGATCTCCCGCAACATTTGGCTCAAGGCCCCTTTTGTGTAACATTGCATCATTCATGATCGCGTGAAGCAAAAGAACCTTAGCAGGCCGCTTACAGGATTATCCACAAGACAATCCACCAGGGACAATCCATCCTCCAATCATCCAGAGTGGCATATTGGATTCTCTCCGGAATAGATCCAGGCACCAACACAACGACCTCTACTACCACAGGGTACCAGTTCCCTTCTGGGATAGGCGCCTGGGGCAGTGGGCCTCACCCCCCCCCCCGCTCTTGCAGCTGCATACAAGCGCCTGCTAATGGTCATGACTCATGCACAGTCAAATCCATAACCCAGGTTATGTAACACCTGTACACATTTGGATGGGCTTCGTGCGCACATATTAATATGGTCTGACACTGGGGTCCAATGGCAGGCGTGCCTCTCCGGCCAGGTTTGCCTTCGGAGGATTTCTGTAGCCTGTGCGCATTTCAAATACGGTCCGCTACAGAGCACAATTTGTGGACACACCCAGGTGCAAATCGGGGGTTACTACTAAGCTGGGGTTGCCAGCCCAAACCGTGACCCTCTTTCTCTATCAAAAAGGCACAAGTATTTTAAGCAGGTCAACCTCACGCATTTCACAGAGGAAATGTATGTGGAGGATCCCGTGGTCACCCAAAAATGAGATGGGTAAGTTGGCCCTCAAAGAACGATTCCAACTGACCGACCATCTCGAGCATCCAACCATTGTCTCGACCCAACCGTTCCGACCATCCCCACAGCTTTGTCCTGCTGCGGTGCCCTGAGACTCTTCTTTCCTAAATCCGTGCTTTTGTTTCCTGAATTTTGTTTCCTTCAAATTCGCATTTGTTTCCTGAATTCGTGATTGACCGGCTCACTTGAAACGAGTCTATTTGCTGCCAAGATGCGAAGCAAACCTTAGAAACATGGATTCAGTCAAAGATGGCGCTCATCACCACAGTTTCCCAAGCAAAGTTGTGATCTCTTCCCCAGCCGTTCTAGGCCCAGGGATTCTGATATCTTCCCAGCTGAAATATGGCGAGGAGCAGAATAAGGATCAGCTGATCGATCAGCAATCCTATCAAGCGCGTGCCTCACCATTTTGCCCATTTCACCTTGGCATAATGACGGCAAGGACAGGCGATTGCGAAAGATCTACTTTTGATCTCCATTCCACTCACACACTTTGCTGCTATTGAGGTTTTTGCTGTTCTTCTTCAGAAAGATGCGAGCCACATAAGCATATATGTTGGTATTCCTGACGCCTTGGATTCTTCTGGTCATTGTGGGATTGCTTGGCGCCACCTAGCTGCAGGTTGCCAACCTGCAGGGTCCTTGCACGGTGCTGCGTGTGCATCACCAACATGATTCGCATGTTTGCTTGGCGGGTTGAGATCCTGCAAATTGCCAGCCTGAGGGGAACTTGCAGGGTGCTGCATGTGCATCACCAACCTTGATCGCATGTTTGCTTGGCGGCATCTGAGATCCTGCAGGTTGCCAACCTGCAGGGTGTTTGCGGGGTGCTGTGTGTGCATCACCAACTTGATTCGCGCGTTTGCTTGGCGGCGTCTGAGATCCTGCAAATGGCCAACCTGCAGGGTCCTTGCAGAGTGCTGCGTGTGCATCACCAACAATCTTCGCACACTTGCTTGGCAACATCCAGGCTTGAGATCCTGCAGGTTGCCAGCCTGCAGGGCGCTGCGCGTGCATCACCAACATTAGTCGCACGTTTGCTTGGCAGCACCCTGGCGGTTGCCCACCTTTGCAGGGCGCTGCTTGCGCATCACCAACTTGATTCGCGCGGCGTGAGATCGTGCGGGTTCACAACCCGCAAGGTCCTCGCGGTGTGTGCGTCCCCAACTTCATTCGCGCGTTTGCTTGGCAGCGTCTGAGATCCTGCAGGTTGCCAACCTGCAGGGCTCTTGCGTGGTGCTGCGTCTGCATCACCAACATTATTCGCACGTTTGCGTTGCGGCATCCAGGATTAGGTTGCCAACCTCCCGTGCTTGGCGGCGTCTAGCTGCAGGTTGCCAACCTCGCTTGCAGGGTGCTGTGTGTGCATTGCTTGGCGGCATCTAGCTGCAGGCTGTGCCGAGACCTGCGTGCGGAGGCTGCGGGTGCATCATGAACATTGCGCGCACGCTGGCTTGGCAGCATCCAGGCCTGCCCGTTGCCAACCTTTGCAGGGTGCTGCTTGTGCACCACCATCATTATTCGCATGATTGCTTGGTAGCGTCAAGGCTTGAGATCCTACAGGTTGGCAACCTGCAGGGCCCTTGCAGGGTGCTGCGTTATTCGCACACTTGCATTAGCGGCATCTAGGCTTAAGATCCTGCAGGTTGCCAACCTGCAGGGTCCTCGCTGGGTGCTGCGCGCATCACCAACTTGATTCGCGCGTTTGCTTGGCGGCATCTAAACTTGACACCCGGCAGGTTGCCAACATGCAGGGCCCTCGCGGGGTGCAGTGTGCGCATCACCGGCATTCTTCGCACATCTGCGTGATGGCAGCTAGGCTTGAGACCCTACAGGTTGCCAACACGCACGCAAGGTCCTAGCGGGCGCTGCATGTGCATCATCAACATTATTCGCACACTTGCCTGGCGACTTCTAGGCTTGAGATCCTGCAGCTTCTCCAGGCTTCTTGCAGGGTTCTGTATTCCCGCGTTTGCTTAGCAACACCTAGGCTTGAGATCCTGCAGGTCGCTAACCTGCAGGGTCCTCGCGAGGCCTTGCAGGGTATTGCGTGCGCATCACCAACAATATCCGCTTGCTTGGCTGCATCTATGCTTAAGATCCTGCGGGTTGCTGCAAGATTGTCGCGGGTAAGCAAACGTTGAATATTGTGACATTCTTCGCACGTTTGCTGCCAACCAAGCATATCTGAGTTTCTGCAGGTTGCCAACCGCGTCACCAACTTG